AAAAAAAAAAAAAAAAAAAAAAAAACAGAAAAGGGAAGGGAAGGTTTGGATTTTTTTCAATGCTAAGTTAACTTACACATAACATCTCACCCGTGGTTATTTTTTCTAAGCCCTTTTAATGAACCATTCCACAGATCGAATCATTCAATAAATGTGTGTATTAGGGCGTGAGTACGTATCCATACTTACATGTACTCATTCACAGGGTTAAAAATAATAAACATGAAAATAATGCTACACAACGTCAGCAAGGCAGGACGTGATTTGGCTACACACCCCTCACACATTCTTCACTCATTCTTCACACATGTTTTGGGGCATTTTCTACACTGCGCGCAAAGTTCGCATGCCACTAAACTTTGGCTCCCAAAAGGTTAACAAACAAAATAAAAAAACGTTAGTTTCATTGCCACTACAATCTTTCCATCACAAAAAAAAAAAAAAAAAAAGAAAAATCCCCACCAATGTTCACGCATGTGGACTAATTTTACCCCTTCAGTTCATCCAACTTAACACTTCTATCTTCTGCATCCTGGGGTGCTTTCCAAAAAGGCGAACCTATAGCTACAGAATAATTACCCCCTTTTCTTGGTACTTCACTGTTGCACACGCGAACACACACATATATACAATGCACATGTACATTTTCGCGAATGTAAGGCGCATCGCCTTTGCTATGTTCAAAGGAAAGGTACATACCCCCCCCCCCCTAAACCATTGGTGTCGTCTGTTTCCCATGAACTTCTCACAAAAAGCGCCACAACGGGCAGCATAATTCTAAATGGGGCAACCCTTTTTTCACATAAACGGAGAGAACATTCTCCCAGCGGAAAATTTGACATGCTAGCAACATGTGCGCCCTTGCCCCGAATGATCACCAAAAAAAAAAAAAAAAAAAAAAAAAATTGACATCTTCATATGATAAGGATAAAGGTGTGGGAGAAGCACCTACCTCTGTACACAAACAAGTCTGCATGACTTTGAATAAGTCCCCATTCCAAAATAGGACAAAATTTATTTTCTGGAAGCAAATATAAAACTTTAATTAAAAATGAACTTTTAATTGCAAAGACAAAAACGTTAAAAATGATATTTGAAAAAGGAAAGAAGGGGAAGAATGATGAAGTGAATAACAGAAATTATAATGGGGGTACAAACGAAAAAAAAAATAAAAATAATTCACTGACACGTACATGCACTTCAGGTGAATCTCCTTAAAACTCGTAGGTGAAAGAATCGCGAAACGCTACGTAGAAAAGACACCCACATGGCATCGAATTAACAAAATGTAAATTAATGGACATACACAACTACTGAAATATCTTGCTAAACATCGCATGATGTTTTTTAAAATTGAAGAAGAAAACTTTTTAATTGGGGTGTGGGAAAAGGTCAGTGCGGCGAGGCACGAAGGAAGGGATATATATATTGGGGACGGTTTCACAAAGCCCATTACGATCACACGAACCACCGTCGCACGACTTGTGAATAACCAATGTACAATACGTTAAAGGGGGGAAAGGGGCCAGTCTGTTCTTTTTTTTTTTCAAACGTGCTCCTTTCCTCTTTTTCGTCTTCCCCTCTTTCCTTCTCTCCATCTCTCCCTCTTCTTTTTTTCTAACCCAGTAACAGGCCCCAGTGTCAATGGGTGTCTCTAGGCAGCATCGGGCTGCTTCGCTATGTCCTCCTTTGAATCGAGATAGTTTGAGGAAAGGTTGTTCATCCGTTGGACTCCCCACTCTGCGCATTCTGCGTCACCGTCGTCGTGCACATTTGGCTCTGCTTTTCCATTTTGGCCGTCTTCCTTACCCTCGTGCTCCTCCTCTTCATTTGCAGCGACACCCGACTTGGTCCCGCCCACGTGCAAGTGGCCCAAAGATCTGCTGTTCTCATCTCGCAACTTAATTTCGAACAAGTCAAAGTTCTCTCTTTTTAATTTCTGGTAAAACATTTCTGGTTCGCAGGACTTAGAGCCCAAAACTTTGTTCCTTCTCCGTTTGTTCTTATCATTAAGGAAAAAAAGATTTTTGAAAAAATTTCGAAAAATATTACTTTTCCTCTTCCCATTGTTAACTTTGAGAATATCCCTAATTTCAAAAATGGAATTTGGCTTCCTCCGTAGGAGTCTCTTCTTCGTTAAAAATTTATGACAAAGTAGATGTGCAACCTTTGCCCTTTTTCCAGGATTATTTTGTAAACAGGATTCAACAAAAAAGCAGAACTGTTTACTAAACCCCGAGCACAGATTAATTTTAGGAGAAGAATCTACAATCTGTTTGATAGATTCCTCAATGTCTTTTTTCCCCTTCCATGGCAATGCACACATAACACTTTCGTATATAGTAATTCCTAACGACCAAATGTCTGCTGAACAGTCATACTTTTCTCTCTTCAGAATTTCTGGAGAAATATAATAAAGAGTTCCCACAACTTCATGCATTTTTAAATCTTCTACCTTTTCGCAGGACCCAAAGTCTATTATCTTTGCTACTCCACTTTTCGAAAAAACAATGTTCGTCGGTTTGATGTCCCTGTGGACTAAACATAAGGGGCATTCGTTATGCAAATATTTTAACGCCTTTAATACGTCCTCTAGAATGTGCACCAACACATCTTCAGTTATCCTTCCACAATTTTTATATAAATCGAATAATGTTCCGCCTGAAAGGAACTCACACACTATGACCAGGTAACAGGGAGGCCAGAAAAAAGATTCGTGGTACTTAACAATATTGGGGTGGTTGCAATTTTGCAAGAAATGCACCTCCTTCATGATTCTCGTCACACTATTTTTTTTACTTAAATAGCGTAAGTTCATGATTTTCAGGGTTACCAAGTTCTCTTCGTCGTAGGTGCCTTCATCGCTGTCTTCATCCTTGCCGTCATCACCGCGCCCATCGCTTCCCTCATCGATGCTATCCCCCGCTGCTCCTTCCACTTGTGTGTTTCCCTCGCGTGCTCCGTTTTCCTTCGCCAGGCCTGCGTCTTTTTCCGCGTTCTCTTCAAACTGCTTACCCGTATCATCGCCCTCCTCCCCCTTCCACGCGGAAAACACCACCCCATGCGCACCCTTACAAACCACCTTATTAATTTTGTACACGCGAGACCACTTACCCAGTGTGTTCTCCCCTAACCACCCCGTGTCCTCTTTGTACACCTGCACAGAGCCATACCCATTATGCACATATAAATTTTTCTTAAAAAATTCCATGGTATCATCTAAAATGAAGTTGATCCTTTCGGCAATCCTCTCGAAATTCTCCATCATTTCATCATTTAAGCTTTTTGTGGGATCACCTTTTTGCCGCTCCAAATCTCCATTTTCGTTGCATCCCAAGTTGTTACTGTCCGCCGCCATTCTTAGCTCTCCATCTTTGGAGCAGAAAAAGGGGTCAATATGTTCCTTGTCAAGCAAACCACCTTCCTGTCCTTCGATCTCACTAATGTAGGACACTGCGTTTGTAATGTCGTCCTTCGCAACATCGGCGCTAATTTCGATCCCTTCTTCATCACCCCTTTGCAGTACACACTTGTCCTCCTCCTCGGTAAGAGCCACCCCCTTTGCATCCTTCACTTGGTCGTTTTGCTTACTCAGTGCACTCATTTGTGCACCTTCCCCCGGGGATGCCTCTCCGCCGGCGAACTCGTTACACGCATCTCTGCCGTTACTACAGCTCCTAGCGCTGCTGCCCATTTGGCTAGTCGATCCCGTTGCTTCGTCGTCCGATCCTGCACACACAGGCTCCTCCTGTTCGCTCCTGCCACAAATGATCTTATGTACCTCAGGAGCTCCATTCTGCGAATTCACTTCAGAAGCCCCAGCCTCATCATTTCTGTCCTCCTTACCAGGGCACCCCCGATCGACCGCATCCGCTGCACTGGACGCACATTTCGCGACATCCCGCAGCTTCTTCCCCCCCGGGCGACAAACCAACTCGGCGTTATACCTACATTCATACGAAATGGATTCCTGGTTGGCCCCTTGCGCATCATTCATTTTTTCCCCTTGCTCTAAAAAGGGGAAATTTTTAAAAATTGAGGAGAATATCCCAACTTCGCCCCTTATTTTAAAAATCCCATTATGCAGGGCGTTTTTCCCTTTGGAAAAATACAGCCGTAATTTCTGCCCGTTAAATAAATCATGCTCGCTATGAAAAAAATTAAATCTCTCTGCCTGCTCAACAATGCGATTATTATTTTTGCCACATAAATTTGCCTCTGTTTGTTGCTTGGTCAGTTCCTTTACATGTTCGCTTTCCTCACACACCTTTTTATGATATTCTGAATGCGCCCTCTCCACGTAGGTTCGCCCCATTTCTCCCCCTTCCACGTCCATGTCTCTTCCCTTTATCGTGGTTAATAGGTCAGGTTTACCAAAGACACAACTTCTGTCATGGCCGCACCCCTTTAAGACATCCCCCTTGCTGTGCTCTTCAGTGTACTTCCCCTCCCCGTTAGCCAACAGGGAAGGAGACGTCCCGTCCTCACTAATACCAAATGCCTTATTTTGATTTTTCAAATGGTTCCTACTCCTGTTAATGATAAAATGCTTGTTGGTATAATTCTCACCAGTTGTGTTGTTTGTTCTTTCCTTGTAGAAATTCTTCAGAAGGCTGTCCAAGGAAGGTCTCCACTTGTCTTCATTTTTGTTATGACTATGTACATACGGGTTGTTACTCCCTTTGATTTTGTCATAGTAGAACCATTTTGAACTTGCCACATTTGATTTTTCTCTCACGTGTGTAGTACTATTATGGAGAAAATTCCATTCCTGTTCTCCTTTAGGTAAGAATTTATTTTTTACAAATTCGTTTACGTGAACATCATTTTTCCGATTTGTAGCCACCGTGGGACTGATTTCTGGTGCACCTTGCGCCACGTACATATTTTTATTTCTTATGCGAAACACTTTTTTGTTCGTTATTTTGTCGCTTCTTCGTAGTGGAGTAAAGAGAGGGAAGATGGTTCTGCCACTGTGTAATGGACAGACATCCTTCTCACTTTGCCCCTTTCTCCCCCTACTTGGGCACTTTCCATTTGTCTCACTTTTCTCCACAAATATTGACTTACCCTTTGGGACGGGCAAAAAAGTATTTCCCATATGCAGTACTACACCATGTCCCTTAGGTAGGTCTTTGCTCTTCCCATCCCCTTCTTTGTTCACATTCCTACTCCCACTGGTGTAGCTCCTGCTGTTACTACTATCCTTCTTACAGGCCTTGTTACCTCTTCTTTTCCTCAAAAACATAACATTGTTTTTTAAAAAATTTACTGTGGTGTCATTTGAATAGAGCTTCGCTTCTCTGTTCATATGATGAACACAGCGATAAGTGTACTCAGCCGTCTTTATTTCTACTCCATTTGGGGAAAGCAACATTTTGTTCTTCTCTATATCGGCGCTGAATAAAGTTTGTGGCTTTGTACCGTTGTCACGTAGTGCGTTGTGGATTTGTTCTCTTCTACCTTCTTCCCCTTCCTCCGCATGGTTAGTAATGCTTCCCTGTGCAATGGTGTGTGTATTCACTGTAAGGGCCTTTTTTTCTATACCTCCCATTTCATCCCCTTCCGGAGATGCCATATCAGAACCAATAGGCTCACTTTTGCCTTCTACGCTAACAGGGTTTATAGCACACCGACTGTTTATCATCCCCTTACATACTTCACCGTCCATTTTTGAGTGCTCCCAAATTTTGTCTTCGTCCTTATATTCCAAAATGTTATCATGTAAGCGGTGGCTTCCCATATTGGACTTGCCCACCTTTATCACGTCAAACGTTGCTCCGTCTCCCCTTTTTAAATTCCCCATTTGATGGTTCCCCCCATGTGTTGCACCTTCATCGACCGATCCGGAACTCTTAACTGTGCTCACATCGGTCTCTTCTCCTTCATTCCGTTCCTCACTTTTGTGTACTTCATTTTCATCATCCTGTAGTTTGCCTTTAGAATCATTTGCACCATGTCTACATAGCGCAAAATCGTTGTTACCCCAGTTGATGATATTCCTCTCAAGGAGTGGGTTCCCAAAAGAGGAATCCCTAGACGTAGATCCCTTCACCATTTCGTAACTTCCATTCGCGCATTTCGCATTTTCAAAATTGCTTGCATCACATGTTTTCAATTTTATTTTGGCTACATTTACCGCTTTACTAATATGGTGCTCAAAATGTTGCTGCGGAACATCTGTGGAGCAACCTCTGCGACTGCATCCTTCGGGGTAACATGGCAAAGGATTATTTGACTCATTGAAGGGACTCACCAAGAGATTTGTCTGGCCTTCCTTTTCACAATCAACAGTAATGTTCCTTCGAGGGAGGAAGTACCTCATGGAGCTTTTATCCCTTCCATGGTTATTATCATCCCAGGCTGGTCCATGGCTACTGCTCCGAAGAAGTTTGCCAACGGGTGCTATTTTACCAATCACATTCGCTTCTTTCGTCATCGTCGAATGCGTACCTTCATCAGCCTGTTCACTTGCGAGATTTATTCTTAAAGGAGGTGCTCCCTCACTCAATGCTGTTTCTTCGACTGGGTTGTCTTCCCCATTTTCATCCATTAAGCACTTTCCCTGTGCTACTTTCATCTCCCTCGGAAACATGATCGGAATGTTATTCCTCACCTTATTATGATCCACCTCATGTGCTCCTTTTTCTTCCATTTTAATCGCTTCGTCTGTCTCTAATCGGTTAACCCCTCCATGAGTAAATTTCTTACTCTTTTTTTTTTTTTTTCCATACCCAAAGGTGTTTTCCACTTCAACTGAGAACATATTTTAAATATGCTATTTGACTCATTACCCAAATCTCGCATAAGCAGTAGAGAAAGGGAGTCTTCTCTGAGCTAATTACAATTTAACAAAATGGAAAAACTGAGTGGTATGTACAAAACTGCCAACACATAGTGCGCTTCCTACGTACGTATATAATTTCACAATTGTTCCGATGCGTTATGTTACCCCTCCCCACAACCACATGTTTAAAAGGAACATTTTGAAATGTGCTACTTATCTTTCGTCTACTGATCAGCTATACAACTCGGGAAAAAAAAAAAAAAAAAAAAACATGCTCATGTGCGTTAGCCTCAAGGATAATCCTACCAACGTTATTTTCCCGGACACGCATATTTTTCCTACAGTATATACCTTCTCAGCAGCGCATAAGATTCTTTACGCAAATATTTCCTTCTAGCCTTCTCGCGCACAATTATCATGAAAAAAAAAAAAAAAAAAAAAAAAAAAATTCCAATAATACCTTGCCGCTCAGGTAAAAAGTAACACCTGGCGCTGTTCCCCTTTTTTGGGAAAAACAAAAATTGAGCATCACTCTTGTGACTGCTAACATTATCAGTGGCAGTTTTTTTTTTTTTTTTCCCACTAGAATTTTTCCTTTTTAAAAAGTCTTAACCATTTGTGGAAGTTGTATTCGTGTGCAAAAAAGTACCACGCAGCGGGCTTGTCACAAAAGAATAAAAACAAAACAAACACACCACAGCCCAAAACAAACTTAGGTACTGCAGAACATCATCATATGTGTACACTTGCGACTGCTGCGCGGAAACACAACAGCAAATACCATTTGAATAAATATTATAGTAAAAAGCAACAGGGTGTTTACGCCCCTCGGGGGTCTAAAAAAACTTACATATGCAGGGAGAACCGCCCTTGGATTGCCAGAGCATTTTCATTTGGGTTAGCCTCTTCTCTGCACATGTTGTCTTACATGGATTTGTCTTTTGTTTTAAAAAACAATAAGTGAAATAATTCTGCTACCACGTAAGGAATCCTCCGAGTAGTTATATGTTCCTTTCCCCTGTGCTAGCAATGGTGTGGTCAGCGAATGTAATGGTGTACTCAAAAAAAAAAAAAAAAAAAAAAAGACAAGTTCATAATCCCCAATTAGGAAATTTATATAGATACCCTTCTTGAAGGCGTTATTTTTTTTTAATTTGCCAAATAAGTTCATTTACAAAAAAAAAAAAAAGAAGAGGAAAATAAAAACATCCTTTATGATCAACATTTCTGTTCCACGTGAGGGAAAAGAAAATGTTAGTGTTACGCAACAAGGAGGAGTAATCCCTTGGGTCAAAAAATTCAATGAAATGAATTTAACGCCCTTGTGCGCGAGAAAGAAAGAAAACTAATAATGACGAAACAACTTTTTCCGATATAGGGGGTCGAAAAACGTCCTGGATGCTACTTGACTCACCACATAAAGCAAATGTCTAGGCACAAATTTTATGGAGTACTTATTAACGGAATAACTTTTAACCATTTCTTCAGATTCATCTAACAATGAGACTTTGTCCTTTTTCAAGTGTTGTGCGTACAGAGGTCTTGTGACGTAAGTTTCGTGTGCTATATTCCAGAAGGAGAAATCCGTGACAAAGTTTTTTGGGGATACTCCCTCCTGCTTCTTCGTCCTCTCGCCCGTCTTCAAATTCGTGGCATTGCTACTGCTAACGTTGTTGCCTTCCTCCTGGTTGGTTGCCCAACTGTTATTATTCATGCAGGTGGCCGTTTCTACTCCCATGCGCAGATGATCCTCGCGGGAAAATTTTGTTTCCCTGTCAACCTTTGCAGTGACCACAGGAACAGTTATTCGAGTGTCATCCCGATGGTTCATACCCTCCCCTTGCTGGTGGCCCTGTTTTGATAATTTGTAAAATTCATCGTCCATATCCCTCATCATAGTTATATTTTTTTCCATCTTATCGTAGTTCACACAAAAGGATACATACTTGGACCTCCTGGATGTTCCCTCGCTAGCACTCTTTTCACCATCCCCCCCGCCACCGTCTTCCTCATCGTAGAGATCCTCATCCGATGAATAAAACATAAGACTGCTCGTTATATCGTAGACAAATGGGCCACGAACGCCTCCTTTTACCTCCACATGAGTATGGCCATACTCGCTTCCCCCCTGTGGGTAATTTTTCTTATCAATGAGTGAACTCTTTTCTTGTGCGTCCTTACTCCCCAACTTCGCGACCCCTTCAGTGGACTCTTCGTCACTTCCTATTTCGGATATATCACATGAGGAAGAATCATCATTTGGGGTTTTCCTCTTGTGGAGCATTCTGTCCTTATCAACACATTCATTTTCTTCATCTGCGTCAAAAAATATTTCTCTCTCATCAGGTTCTAAAGGGTATAGCTGTGTAGACCTTTTAACATTGCGGTAAAGGGGGCGGCTGGCAACTTGGTTATTTGCTCCTCTGTGATAATGTCCTCTGTCCTCCCCATCCTCCTCCACAGTTCTGCTCGCATATTTTGCATTTTCGCATCGAAAGCGTTTTGCCTTTCTAACCTTGTCTGTTGTTGCCTCCTCGAGACTTTCCTGTCGCTTCCTCTTCTTCCCCTTTTCATCTTCTGTGCGCAAAAAACTGCCGTTCACCAAGAGGTCCGAGGTGAGGATGCTATCGATCCATTGGACGAAAGTAATTATGTTATTTCCTTCGCCGCTTTCGGTGTGACCTGGTGGAGCACTCATTTGGATCACCAACTTTGGAGTCAATGTCCTTCTATCTTCCTCTCATCAATCGCATTCCTAAGAGAGATACCCATGTGCTGCGCGGGCATAGGACGTACGTCGTCACAGTGTTGCAGTACACCTCATTATTGTATGTGCGTCATTGCGAATGTCTCCATGCGTGTGCAACTCTGACAACCATATATGTCGCGGCACAAGGCAACGCTTCACCTTCGTGTGACCTCAATTGGGGGAAAAAATTAAATTGCTGTACATGCCCATTTGGACGAAACAAAAATATTACGTAAACGATTTCATCATTTAGTTTGTTTCGCAGTGTAGCGTTTCTTCTCCCACAATATGGAGTGTTTTTTTTTTTTTTTTTTTTAACGCGGGAAAAAAAATTCATATATTTGTTACTCCCACTTTGATTTTACTTTTCCTACAGTGTTGTTTCCCTTCCCCACTGGTACAATTTGCTGCACTACACGCTGCTCATTTTTTTTGTGCGTAGAGCAGAATGGCTTATTAATTCGCACGCACCAGTGGGTGCAGGGTTTGAATTGTGCCTCATTCGTTTTATCCATTTGACAATCAGCTTAGAACACGCTTGCTTTTCAACTGCCTTGTGCACACTGCTGACCGGTTTTTATGAATGCTGCGGAGTGTGGAAGCGCCGACCCTTTGCAGGTCTTCCGCATAAGAGAAGAAACTGCCAGCCTAGTGGTGGGAAATATTTTTGCACATTTTCACAAAAGCTTTGAGTGAATCAGCGGGCCCACGCTTCACAAAATGCACAGATCCAAAAAAAATGAACGCTGCCCCATCAGGGATGACCCAAATGTATCACAATGTGTAACGTACTGAGGGTTAAGCGAAGTTGGCCAAGTTTACGAAGTGGTGAGATATACACGAAAGGGTTAAAAAAACAAGGAGGTCGTCTTTCCTTCCTTCTGCCCACTTGAACACGCACATAAAATCGACGAAGGGGCGATTTTCAGATTGCCTAAGTGACGAACGTGTGTGAGGTTCTGAGCGCCCCCGGCTACTGCTGTAACTGCGCGTAACATTACCACTTCCGCAGTTTCTCACTTGTCTTCACCAAGCGGTGAACCCTAAACCTCTGCACTTGTTTACCACTTCTAACACCTGTGCTTGTCTGCACCATTGCAACATGAACAGCAACCATAGCCAGCCGGGCACAGAAAGGGAGAATCGCTCCAACGCGGATGAAGCGCCTAGGGGAGATACCTTCTTCGATCCCAACACAGAGCAGTACCTAGTCATTTCCCCCCGACAAAAGCTAAACCCAGTCTTAAAAAAAATAAACAGGGTCCGATACAAATTTAGTAATATCATCCCCGATTTTTTAATCGGGAAGAATAACGCCTGCTTGTTCATATCAATGAAGTATCACAGACTGAGATCCAATTATTTAAAAGCGCGAATGGAAACGCTGTCCAATAAGTACAATAACCGCATATTGCTATGTCTGGTGGATATTGAAAATATAGAAAACTCATTGGGTGAAATAAACCAGCTAGCTTTTTGTTTTAACATGACCTTAATATTATGTTGGAGTATCGAAGAATGTGCAAGAGTGATTGAAGACTTTAAAATTTACGAGAAAAAAGTTTCCTACATAAAGAACAACAAGCTGACGTCCACGCATGCAGAGAAGATACACGAACTGTTGAAAAAAATTAGATACATCAACTCCTCCGACTGTGTAACCATCACGAACAAGTTCAAAAGTTTTAAAAATATTGTCATGGCTAACAAGGATGACCTCATCAGTTGTTCTGGTTTGGGCAACACGAAAATACAGTCACTCATATCTGCTTTTAATGACCCCTTTTTTTAGGAGCACTCACATATACATATGTAGGCATGTATGCGTGTGGGGGTGCATTTGTGCTGACGCACACGCTTACGCGTAAATAGTACCCTTCTGTGTGCACACACAAAAGAGATTTGCCATTTCGTCACCACATGTGAACCGCGAAAGAACGACACAGAACAGCTCGTTTAACCTGTTCCACTGTGTTTTGCAATTTTAACTCCTATCTTTCCTTTCACATGAGCAAAAAAAAACTTTTTAAAAATCCTCTATATACATTTTTCAAGAGTTACTTTTTCATAACGACTGTGTAGCGTTCTTTAAAAACGGAGGTATAAATAAATATATATATGTGTGTGTACGTGTGCGTATTTATACATTTTAAATACTTAAATAGATATACACTTGGCGCACATGAAGGGGCAGCAACATGTTGGCTAGCTGGATGCGTAAATATATGTTACCAATTAATGTACAAAAAAAAAAAAAAAAAAAAAAAAATGTGTACCGTGCTA